TGAACGCGCACATATCCAGGATTGGTTACACCTGGCTTGATGAATCCGTGTCTGCTCATCCTGGCTTGGTCTTTGTGCAACCAATTAAGCCTGGACGCACGTGTTTTGGATTCATTGAGCTCAGATCAGTCATTTATCCTGGATGTCTTAATTCTGCTTTTGTGCAACAGGCCCCAGAATTCAGTAGAGTGGAAATGTTTATATCATAAATAAATAAAAAATAATAACACCTGCCTCTCCCACAGAAGAATTATACAAAAGGAGTGAGGGCAAAGTGTATATAGGGGTGCCTTTTTCAGAGGGGACAACAAATCTATCAAGTGCTGTTGGCAGGGAGGCTGCAGCACTATCAACAAGGTTGAATAATGATGGAGTTATTTCCTTACATTTGGTCAAACATAAACTCTAAAAATGGGTTTTTTTGTTGTTGTTTTCAAGTGAGAGGGAAATTTTCCCCCTACCCAGTAGAAATTATTACTTTGGAGGATAGTAAAAATCGATCTCCTAGGACCTTAAAAGAATATATTGTCAGTGTATTCTTTTGTTGTGGTGGCAGGTGTACCGCTGGGTGGACCAAGCTGCAGAGGTGTTGCAGGGACTCAATGAGCAGCGACAGCACAGCCAGTTCTGTGATGTGGTGCTGGTGGCCGATGACCAGCGGATCCCCGCTCACCGTTCCCTCTTGGCCATCTCCAGCCCATACTTCCATGCTATGTTCACTTTGGGCATGAGAGAGGAACGTCAGGAGGAGGTACATAGGATGCTAAAAAAGACGAAATTGTAGGTCCAGGGCAGGCTCTGGGTTTGTTGGTACCTTAAGTGTTCAGTAGGATCCATCCCTATCCCTTCCAGCCGCAGGAAAGGTTTAGGTCAGCGCCAGCACTTGCTTTTCAAATTGATCTGCAATTTAATGCAAACTAGATATTCATATGACATTAACAAAGAAAACTGAAATAATAGTAACTTTATATAACTAAGAGCAATATACATAGAGTGTAGCATTTATTATTATAAAGGCTGTTTCCTATAACCAGTATTTAAGTGGGATATTCTGCCTCAGCAGAGTAAAAGGGCAACAGTACTATTCATTTAAAAAAAAAAAAAAAAAAAAAAAAAAAAATTTGGGGGCCCCCTCCCAGGCGCCTGTGCCACCTCTGCCCTGGTAGATCATTTGTAGAATGAGAACCATTGTTTCTTTCTCTCTCTTCCCCTTTAAATGGGTCTTCATTATTTTCCTCCTGCCTAGTATCCATTGTCATCTTCCTGTCTGCAGGTGGAGCTAGTTGGGATGTCCTACATCGGTCTGAAGGCTGTAGTGGACTTTCTCTACAGTGGAGAGCTGCCGTTGGATGGAGGAAACATTGACTGTGTGCTGGAAACTGCTCATCTTCTGCAGGTAAAAAATAGGAACATTTTTGTTCTACAATTTCAACTTAATTGCATAGCACCAGTTCACAACAAAAAACATCTCAGGGCCCATAGTGAGGTACCATATTACAGAGAAAGACCCAAAAAATCCCCCCTGAGCAGAACTTGGCGACAGCGGGGACGAAAAACTCCCTTTAACAGAAGAAACCTCTGACAGACCCCGGATCTTGGTGGGGGGTGGGATCAGATCATGGGCCCCCCAGCAGCCTAGGCCTATAGCAGCATAACTAAGGGAAGGCTCAGGGTCACCTGATCAAGCCCTAACTATAAGCTTTATCAAGGTAGAGAGGGTGTCCGCCTCCTGAACTGAGACTGGGAGTTGGTTCCACAGGAGAGGAGCTTGATAGCTAAAGGCTCTGCCTCCCATTCTGCTTCTGTGGATTCTAGGAACCACAAGTAGACCTGCACTCAGAGCGAAGTGCTCTGTTGGGATGATAAGGCTCTATGAGGTCTTTAAGATACGATGGAGCCATGTCATTAAGGGCTTTATATGTTAGGAGAAGGATTTTAAATTCTATTCTGGATTTTACAGGGAGCCAGTGGAGAGAAGCTAATATGGGAGAGATATGATCTCTCTTGCTTGCATTATTTTTGGTTTGCATTTCAACCCAGGCAGTATTGATCTTTTAGTTTTACTCTTTAAATTGTACAATGTAGCTGTTATTTATGCACACATGCACATCTTTTGTAGGTTAGGGTTAGTCTATAAAATTCTGCATAATGAATAAACATTCAAATTAAATATTTATTGTAGTCAGAGTTTACTGTTGAATTATTTATTAACTAGTGTTGTGTTGTTTACAACTGGTAAAGTATTTAAAACTAGGGATATTTGAGTATAACTACTGTATGTTGTGTTGTATTTTTAGACATTAACTGGCATAAAGTCTGCATGAAATGAATTATAGTTGTTAACAAGGACATTACTAATTGTCCTTCTTCTGTTTACAACCACACATAGTGTGTTACAAACCATTCATTATTTGTTATGCATATACAAGCAAAATAAAATTGGTCCAAACAAAATTTTACCATTTAAACTGCAAAAAAATAAATATGGCAATAATGGTATCCAAACATCAAATGTTCTCCTGCTGTTATTCAGAACTGGAGATTGGTGGATTTCTGCTGCCAGTATCTGGAGCAGGAGGTCAGTGAGGACAACTACCTCTACCTGCAGGAACTGGCTCTGATCTACAGTCTTGAGCGACTGGACCTCTTCATTGACCACTTCATCCTCACACGCTTTGCCACACTGTCTTTCACCCCAGATTTTCTTCACAATATTCCTTTACACAAACTCACCTCCTACCTCTCTTGTGGACAGGTAAGTACTCTATTTTATTTGGCAGGACTGAAAGACTGTTTTTGAGTTTGGAAATAGCTGTTTATAGAACAATCTCACAATAACTGAACATTTATAGAAAAGAGATATGTGGCAAAATAATAAGGAGCCTCCATTAGTACTCTCACAGCTCCTCTTTGTAATCAGGTTCAGCACGACAGTGAGCAGGCACTTCTCCAGGCCACCCTACAGTGGCTCAGCCAGAGTCCTGAGCGGACGGCCCATTCCTTACAGCTCCTCTCCCACATCCGCTTCCCGTTGATGCCGGTGCAGGAGCTACTGGGTCGTGTGCTACCAGCGGTGCAGGCCCTGTTGCCAGTGGAGGCCGGCTGTGAGGCCCTGGTGGAGGAAGCTCTGGAATACCGTGCCAGGTCCAGTGCACAGCCTCTCCTGCAAACAGAACGAACCACATTGAGGGGGGGAGTAGAGCAGCTTCTGCTGATAGGAGGAGAGGTACAAGTGGGTGATAGATCATTTAGATGATGATTTGATTTTTGAAAGCGCATTTACATTATATCTAGTGTTTTTGAGCAATTGTGTGTTATTAGTCCCCAGTGTTTACTGTTAAATGATGAGGTATCATATACGTGACAAGTTGGAGTTGCTGATAGAGCTTAAAGCTACAACAGGTAACATAAACATGTCGCATCCACCTGTTCTGTAGTGGAAGTTGTTATACAGTTGTGCTATGTTTACAGTGGATGTGAATCAGGGCAGTCAGCTCAGTGAGATACATTATTTTAATGCCCACCAGTTGAATGCTACCTTGTGAATTTCTCTCCAAACTGTGACACTGCGTGAGCAGTTTTCTGTTCATGAGGGGTCAGGTGGAATGCAGAGTACAGTGGATCGAACAGGGAGACGGAAAGCGACTGATTCTAGAGTCTCATGCTAGTTGTTGAATTTTTGCAACGTATATGGTAAATTGTAAATGGACTGTATTTATATAGTGCATTTTTCCACAGTGTGTTGCACAACAAACAGCAAAAACAGGGTTTTTATAATTCACCTCACACAAGTTACAGTAGACTGTAAATGTAGCTGGAAGAAGCTCATTATGTTCCTAAAACCTCCTTTCTTTACATCTCAAGGTGTCAGAATTTGGAGAGGAGCTGAGCGCCAATGTTTGTCGGCTTGATGGTGAAACAGGAAGTTGGGAGGTGGAGACCAAGTTGCCAGCCCAGCGGAGCCACCACTGTCTGGCAGTCCTGGGGGGCTTCATCTTTGCTGCAGGTGGCAGTTTGTCCAGAGACAATGGTGGAGATGCTGCCTGTAACCTGCTGTACAGATATGACCCCCGTCACAACCAGTGGACCACGGTACTGTACCAAAGAGCCAGGTCCTTTCTCCTTTTCAAGTACTTTCAGTTTACTTGTGACGTGTATATAGTGTATATAGAATAGACAGAACATGCACATTCAAACAAAATTGGCAAAACCTTCAGCAGAGGTAGTAGCCCAGACACAGAGACAGTGTGATGTTTTTCCAGGGTGCTGCAATGAACCAGCGGCGGGTGGATTTTTACCTGGGTGCAGTGGGGGAGTGTCTGATTGCTGTGGGTGGGAGGAATGACATCGGAGCTTTGTCCTCTGTGGAGGTTTACTGCCCTGCTGAGGACTGCTGGTCTTACGTGGCAGGACTGCCCAGGTAGAAACACAAGTAACTATTAGACCTGTTGTTTCACAGGGATATTTCTGATAGATGGGTTTCTATGAAATTTGGTGCATAAATCTACAGTCTCCTGAGAACTTGTGTCCTCATGGCCACCTGACTTTTCAAATGGCACCAACAATAGGTCAGAGGTTGTCCATATGTCATAGTGGTTAAGTCTGAAAATTATCGCCAGTGCAGTCATCTTTTTTTTGTTTCTATGTCATAGTTGATGAATTTTCTTTTAGCTATTAAAGTTATTTTAATAATCTTAGACTTGACTTTTTCAATTCTCTCATATCAAGGGTTACTTACGGCCATGCTGGGACAGTCCACCATGGTGTTGTCTACATCTCAGGAGGTCATGACTATCAGATTGGCCCATATCGCAGAGATGTCCTGAGTTATGATCCATCAAGGGATGGTGATGTGTGGGTGGAACGCCAGCCCATGTCTATGGCCCGGGGCTGGCATTGCATGGCCTCTCTCAACCACCTAATCTATGCCATTGGGGGCAGCGATGACCATGAGGACACCACCGAACGCTTTGACATCCTGCAGGTGGAGTCCTACGACTCACGAAGCAGCCAGTGGACCCGGGTGGCACCACTGCTGCTGCCCAACAGTGAGGCTGGGCTTGCAGTCTGGGCAGGGAGGATCTACATCCTTGGGGGCTACAGCTGGGAGAGCATGGCATTCTCCAGAGCCACTCAGCTGTTTGATCCTGACAAAGGCTCATGGTCCAGAGGGCCAGACTTGCCAAAACGTACTGCAGGGGCCTCAGCATGTGTGTGCATTGTAAAGCCCTTACCATCATCTCATTCTTCAAAGAAGAAGAAGATTGGACAAATAGCGAAAGAAAGGTCGGCGGCTGCTGTGGCTCAGGAGGTAGAGCGGGTCGTTTCCTAACCGGAGGATTAGCGGTTTGATTCCCGGCTTTTCCAGTCAACATGTCGAAGTGTCCTTGAGTAAGACACTGTACCCCCAGTTGCTCCCGGTGATGTCAGTGGTGTGCAAATGTGTGAATGGCCAAATAGTGTGAAAGCGCTTTGAGTATGCTGTAAAGCATAGAAAGGTGCTATACAAATATAAGACCATTTACCATTTACCCCACATAGCAACAGCAGTGGATGACTTTCTCTACATCCAGAGATACAAGGCCTACAGTAACTTTGGCTGAAAAGTAGCCGCTCTTCAGCAACACCTAAGCAGGAGTAGTACTGATGACCACCGAATTAGCCAGCCTTTCTTTGCCAAACCTTTGATAAATATCCATTCCAGCTGATACTGGGTGAGAGGCGGGGTCCATATAAAAATGATTACAGTAGTACAAAATACAGTATAAAGTAAAAATAAAACAAATTAACCTGCACTTTACCTTTGAAAATAATCGTGGCTGGCGTGAGGGGCCATTGTTGCAGTACAGATATTGACTATACGAGTGAAGCGTGAGACCCAACGGCTCAGTTGTGACATACGTCACGTGACGCTCGGCAGACAAAGCGTATGTACTACTCATATTGCGAGACCTCACTCATATATCGAATCAAAAATTTTTGCTCATCTTGCAAAACACTCGCAAACCGGGTTACTCGCAATCCAAGGTTCCACTGTACATCCAACTAAAAACACTAAAGGTTTGACACCCTCCTCTCTCGTCTTGTTTCTGTCCTGTTGCCTGCTTCTCCAAGGGCGCAGCACTCGCTGCTTTAAGGTTTACTTGTGTGATTAAAGTCTTTGCAGTGCCTGCAGTTTTCAGGGGGACTGGTCCTTTTTACTTTGAGCAGAGGCAACGTTCATGGCCCAAAGCTACATCTAATAAGATATCACCCATGCCTAAAGCCGGTCGTACCGTTTCCACTCCCTAACATGAGCATAACATGAGTATTTTACATCATCTACATTTTATTTAAATATATCTGTTTTTTAGAGTTGGAGGCAACACAACAAGCTGTAAATAAAATACCCTGCCTGTACTGTAATTAACCCTCAATGTGTTACCTATTAAAGATCAGATAAAGCTGTATTAAGATTGTTTACTAGCAAAAACTTGGTTTTGTCCAAACCAGGATTCGAAAACAATTGGGAATTTTCTGATTTTGAGAGACCTGCCCTGGGTCTTGGCACCAGCTGTAGTTACAAACCCCAGTTTCAATGAAGTTGGGATATTGTGTAAAACATAAATAAAAACAGAATACATTCACTTGCAAATCCTTTTTGACCCATATTTAATTGAATACACCACAAGGACAAGATAGAGTAGAGTAGGTACTTTATTGGTCCCACAGTGGGGAAATTTCTGTGTTACAGCAGCAATAGAGAACAACCAACACAACACCATAAGAACAGAACTTCATAAAAACATGGAAAAGAACACAACGAGGACACAGCTGCTGTAACTTGCTGCTACTCCGCACGGCACATGCATATGTAAGTAGTAGTAACAAAGGACACTTAGTCTTAAAATAAACAGTTACATAAAGGCAACAAAGCATCAGAATCGATACAAGTAGCGTCATCAGAACATTACATTTTACACAGCACAAATAAGCAAATCAAAGGCACCTAAAAACAGGGCAGAGCAGCACTGGAGAGAATCAGGAATAGCAGTAGAGACTAAACAACCAGGAAATCAAGAATAATCGAATATTACTTACATAATTAATCCCACAATGGGGGAGCGAAACCTGTGTTTCAGCCACAAGGATCTCTGAGCAACTACTCAAAAATACCTAAAGCAGGGCAATGTACAGTCATTTGAGAGAGATCAGGAACAAGATATACTGTATGTACTGTTAGCTTTAGCTCTTCACCACATCATGTCAATGTTGTTGCTTTGGTAGTCTTACTGAGGGGATTACCTACTAAGTCCACAAAACACAGGCCACCACTCCTCTCCAGCTGCTCCTGTGTTCATCTATCCTGGCCTTGGGATCTTGGTCTGCCTCATGGCTGGTGGCTGGGTTAGTACAGTTAGTACAGTAAGATGCATCATCTTTGAATTACTAATAGAGTTATTAAGGTCATTTTACATTAAATGAGTAATGAAAGTCAATGCTGAAACTTACGGTTTCCTCCACACGTGTTTTGACCTGGAAACATGCCCTCCTCTGGATAGACCTGTAAATACCTAGCTGTCCCTTACCTCATCCCCCATCCCTGACCATTTGTTGTCTGCCAAAACCTACAGTCTGTATGTACTAGGAGCTGTGAGAAACCTACCGTGGTCGAACACCCCTCTCTTGCTGCCTTTCCAACTGTAAGACACTACCCAGGGTAGTACCAGCCCTGCCAGACGCAAATACCAGCTCTCAAGTTCAGAAAAAGAAAAGCAAACCATAGTACCAGGTGTAAATAGGCCCTGGTGCAAGACACTACCCAGGGTAATGCCAGCCCTGCCAGGTGCAAAGGCTACTTGTCCAGGTTTTCTACTGCTTCATACAGGATTCCTGGTGAAAATCCTAATCCGAGTCACTGTCACTGTCATACCACCTTTGGCCAAAAAGACACATCCACGGTGGTTTCCTAATCGTGACAGGCTGGAGGTCGAGGGTGCCGAATCCCTGTAGCTCTTTTCCATGCTCCTGTCTCTGGAGGAGCTGAGGCCGGAGGTTGAGGGCACTTACCTACCTCCTCGCTGTCGCTCTCATCCCTCCTCCTCCTTGTAGAGATGCTGAGGCTGGAGGTTGAAGGAGCAGCAAGAGGGGGCTCGGGCTCAGGTTGCAGCTCAGGAATCTTAGGCTGAACAAGAAGCTGTGGCTGCCTGACAACCGGCTGCTCAGGAACAGGAGCAGCAAGAGGAACAGCAGCAGGGGCTGGAGGTCACCAGGCACGGAAGAAGTCCTCTTCTAGCAGCTGTTGGTCGTCATCATCGTCATCTTCATCCTCGGTCATGGTGGAGTATCTGGAATCCTCACTAATCCAGTCTTCCACATCACTGTCCTCTTCCTCATCCACCTCTTCATCGTCCTCCTCTTCACCATCCATGAACTAATCAAACTCGTCCTCTTCATAGTCCGGGAGAAGTGGAACGCCACCGCCGTCTCCACTGCCGCCATCATCAGTGATACCTACCTCAGCGATACCTACCTCAGCCTCACCTTCGTCATCCTCGTCATCAGAGATGAGGATGGGGACATCGTTACTGCTGTCGTCCACAATCCTGGGGGAAAAGGGGAAAAAGATTAAAGACAACTTTAAAGCCAGAAGAAGTCACTGCATCATGTAAGAGAGAGTGCACTCCATGTGTTACAGGCTCCCTGAAACAAACACAGACACACAAGTAGACACCCTGTAGGGACTCCTGTCACTGTTATTTTGACCAGAGGAGGGCATGAGAATGATTTTATATTGCGCTCAATAAGGATTAATGACCACTTTCTCACTGATCACTCTTCACTGATGGTCACATCAGATTTTGAACTGTTAATGTGTTAACCTTGGCAATATATTTTGTGTAAAGTTGGAAAGTTTGACTATAAATTACAATTAAATTCACATACTGCTTATGGTTTACGAGTTTGAGATGAACATTCAACTAAGTTGTGTTTCAAAATTAAACCTGCACAACAATTTTACAGCATCGAGCTGAAAGTAAACAAACTGGGGATGCACTGAGTCAGCTATCACCAATGCTCTGATGAGAGTGTTGAGAGCTGGGCCAGTCTTTTCACCTTCATAGCCAGTTCAGTTATGTCTTATGATCATCTGCTCAGATGGCTAATCCCATTTATACCACTCATACAATTTTAATATTATATTTGAGTTTATTAATAATGATCAAATTTCTATTCATTCAATTTAATTTCTATTTTTAAAGGCCACATTTTGCTTATCCAGGGTTCTTAGCTGCTAAACAGAGAACATACTGTATATTACAGAGTTTGGAAACATGAGCCATGTCTCAGTAGGTCTGTTACGTGCCGGACAGAGGCCTTTCTGCAGAGTAAGAACCTCAGTGTTTATGTCGAAAAAACAACTGGACCTATTTAATATAATGTGAACTACGTGCGTCCATACGCACGAGTCATGGGTGGTAAGTGTTGCACAACGAACGGAGGATCAAATCACTGTGCATGTAAGAAACGATGGCACCGAGGAAGCAGAGTGCACACACACTGTTCAGTAACAATCATGTTGCAGTCTTCACCTTAAAAATGAAACAATACATTAAAGAGAAATTAAAGCGCATGTTGGTGAAGCGCCAACACGTTGAGCTCAACTGACTGAACACAACAACCTGTTTGTAGGTCCATTTTCTCCGGCCACTTTTTAAGTGCATTCTGGGAAATATCTGAACATTAGTTCACAAATGTGATCAAATTTGACGTTAAAACGAAGAGATCTGAATACATTTTAATTCAGGCTTCAACCATTATGACCAGTTAACTCAGGGCCCACAAAAGCAAAGGCCCTGTGTGTTTATACCTGTGCGCTCCTCTGCTCCTGCGCTGCTGCTGCTCCACATCGAGAGCTGAGGTGGCTCGGGCATTTGTTTCGGATGCCTCCTGGGCGCCTTCCTAGGGAGGTGTTCCAGGCATGTCCCACCGGGAGGAGGCCCCATGGAAGACCCGGGACACGCTGGAGGGACTATGTCTCTCGGCTGGCCTGGGAACG